CTGTGACTCCCTCCTCACTGGAGCCGCCCCCGAGGCTCCCACCCTCCGGCCGCGGTGTTGCCCCTGTTAAAGTAACCGGGACAACAAGAGAAGGGGGCACCAATGTGAAATGCTCTGCTAAATAAAAATACAGGACCTCAGGCTACTGCAGAACGCCTGCTCTATAAGGTTTCCCGTCAAGATTTTCGAGCCTGGTTTGGAACTGGCCAAGCACACATCCCTTTCCCCCACCATCACAGGGCATCTATACAGGGGCTGTCAGAAATCGGCATTTGCTATTGCTTGCTGGAGACAGCATCTTGCCTCCACAACTGGAAGCATTTGGAAACTAAGAATGAAGAAGGAAAAGAGCTTTAAACTGTTACATCTAATAAGGTGTTTTTTTTCTGCTAGAGAGGGAATGGTTTCCTTCTCCTAGTTTCTCTTCGAAATTCATTTGAAGGCACTTGGTAGTCATCTCGTCCCTTGAATGTTTTCCAGAAAGCAGCCTGTTTCCTGTCTCCGTGGGACAGGCCACAGTGTCTGTTTTCCAGACCTATGGCTTGGATGGGTTCCAGAGTTGTGAACCTCCTCTTCAATTCTTGTAACAAAATTCATGGACTAAGTGAAAGAGATCTTCTGTGATTTAGGAACAAAAAATTTCTACCTGTTCCAGAAATATGAAATACAAAGAATTATGTATAATTCCCTAATATTTTTTAAATAGTTTTTGACTGTCATTTGCATTTATTTCAGGCTCTTGTAGTATGGCACATTCCCTAGGTGCAGGGCAAGTGCTGCTTTGGGTGGGATTTTAATTTAATTAGCCACTTTCTCACTTGTCTTCAGAAGGTGTCATCCATGACTCCAGTTCAGTTTAGGAATTGTGTTTCCTCATATTATCAAGTATTCAGTAATGTTCACCACTCGCAGCCAGATTTTGCAGCCATGGTCCCGTAGAGCTTCATCACTGGCACCCAGGCAGCTGACAGGCAAACTGACCTCGCCACTCACCTACTTCATCTGAGATACATCATATTAAAACCTAAATGATTTTACCAATATCCTTATGAACTGACAGTGTCTTCTTTCCCAGTACTGACAAGTTGGAGTTATCGTCTCATATAGAGTCTCTTTGCAGAAGCCCTGGGGTCTCTGCTGATCCTTCTGGTGTAGATGTGTGCACAGAGCCTTGGGAGAGCTCCTTGCCCTCTGAGCTCGCTGGGACTTGCTGTGTAGAACTGGTCTCATGGATACGTCCATGTGTGATACAAAAATCCTGAAAGTGATTCAGTGACTCTGCTGCTAGCTGGACTACTCAAGGTGCCTTGCACCTTCTTCCAGACGTAACTGCAACCTGGCCCTTCATAATTCATAACCCTGCAACCAGGATCCTTCATAACTTAAGCAATTCTATCTACACTGGCAGCTCAGTTCTACCAGGATTTTTCAACGTACTTAGGTAATACAAGTACCTAGTCTTATGAAAAAATAGATTCCTTAACACTTTACACCATGCTTCAAATGTAAAACAGGGTCTTCTAAAATGTTCACATTCCTTCTGCTGCTTAGACAGAGTGCCAAAGTCATCACACCAGGTTTTAGGATGGTGAGATCCCACCTGTCTGTGTTGATGATTTGGGAGCAGAATAAATCAACAGTAGGAAATGTTACATTATTGACACCTTGTGGGGTGATGAACCACAGCTAAAATGTTTTCCATGGCATCTTGCACCCTATATTGGCTTGTGGATCCTTATGTGAGAGTTGTGTTTATGTCAACAGCTAGTACAAGTCATCCTGTTCTATACAAATACTTTGCCACAGTTGGAATGGAGATATCAGCGTGAAATACATGGACCTGGTGCATATTTTAGGTTGCTGCATAAAAGATTAGCTTGGAGTTTCTTTTACACTGTCATCAGAGCTTGAAGGTTTTACCAGACTGCATATTCTGCTGTAAAAAGCCTATGTGATGAAAAAGGTCTCTGGAGATTCCCATCTGAATACCCAGGGACCCATTCTCATTTTCACTAAACTCTTGACACCACCAGGGCAGTTAAAGTAGGCATATTCACATTCTCTGTGCAAGGCCTGCTTGAAAGATGAAAATGCTGTGGCAAGACATCCCTGTGTAATAAGTAATCCTTGCTTCCAAAGGCCAGCCAGGGTGAGTGTGGGACTGTCCTAACCTTCAGCCTTTGAATAGAGGACACAAACTGGTTTTGGCTACATTTCCCCCCCTGTTATATCCCTGCTTCACATACCCTCAGGCATTCAGAGAATGAGGCTTTCAGCTTCATTCAGCCTTTTCTCAGTCCTTGAAAAATATTTTCTTGTTCAGAAAATAAGAAAGACACCACAGGAAGGCCACCAGGCTCAAAGATGATCAGAGGGCTGGAGAGGTCCTATAAAGACAGGTGGAAAGAGTTTGGATTGTTCAGCCTAGAGAAGGCTCCAGGGAGACCTTATAGCAGCCTTCCAGTACTTAAGGGAGGCCCAGAGGAAAGCTGGGGAGAGAGTTTTTACAAGGGCATGTAGAGATAGAGTAAGGGGTAATGGCTTTTCAACCAGGAGACGGTAGATTTATATGAGACATTAGGAAGAAATTATTTAGTGTTAGGGTGGTGAGACACTGGAACAGATTGCCCAGAGAGGTAGTGGCTGCCTCTTCCCTGAAGTGTTCAAGGACTGGATGGGTGGTGCTTTGAACAACCTGATCTAGTGGGAGGTGTCCCTGCCCAGGCAGTGGGGTTGGAACTAGATGATCTTTACAGTCCCTTCCAACCTTAACCACTCTGCCACTCATGTGTGGATTCCTCATAATCAATGTCAGGAACTGCTGAACATCTCCACACTGCAGCCAGTCACTAAGGGCTTAGGACCCTGATTATTGAAATCAAGTGAAATTGGTGCAGCTGATGTTTGAAGTCAGGTTTATCTATCCTTCTCCTATCTTCTATCTGTGTCCCTCTGTGGATCTAACACAGGAGGGGCAATCTTGCTACACCAATTGAGTTAAACCTATCCTTTCACCATCCTTGCAGTACAATAGCCTGGGATAACATACTACTCTGTAGAGTTTGCTCATTACTTAAGGGGATACTATGTTATAAGACCTTCAGATAATTTAGTGATGACTGCATAATTCAAACATTTCTGTGTTCAGGGCAACAAAGATCCTGGAATTGCAGAGCATCTTATACCTGTGTGTTCAACAAAGGGTAGTGGTGACACCAAGGGCTGATTCCCCTGATACAAAAGCAGATGTAGGCACTCAAGGGCCTTTTAGGTATTGAATCTCATTGAAAGCCAACATGATTCAGGATCTTAGCTCAGGCATTTTGGTAATCCCTTAGCATTCTGAAACATACAGGGGGATAGTTTTGAATTAAAGAAATTGAGAAGAATGTGTAAATAGAAGAGATTTCCTACATTTATGGGCAGCAGACTAGGGTATTCTCAGCACATTTTAACCTGGTTTGAAGCCTGGCTGAGAATCTTTGTGCAGCTTGATCTCAGTGTGATATAGAAATAACAACATTTTAGTAGCTATTGTGTCCGATGGGACAATATTGCTGCAGGGCTGAATGTGATTTGCTTTTTAGTGCTGTAGAAGAACCTAATGTCAAACAGGGCAGTGCAATGTCCTCAACTAAAATTATCTCATGTCTTCTAGCTACTCAAGAGATTTGCTGATCACCCTAATAAAAATATACTATCTCAGTGCTGTTGGTGAGTCACAGAAAATCACTAGGTGTACTCTATTGGTGGTTAGCTCTTTAGAAATCCCTGTTTAAACAAAAGAAATAAATGCCTTATGGAGAAGCTGCCCAAGTACGCTGCTGCACCACCAAATGGTCACAGAATGGCCCCCGTATGATTCCAGCCTTGAGGTGCATAAATGCCATAGGAAGGGCTTTGCTGGAACTGCAGACCAGATGATAGGGACAACATGTTTATACCACATCCCTTTTAAGAGCATGGCATACCTTAGACAAAGCCTAGGAACACGTTCAACAGGCTTCCCGCCACTATAAAAACTCAACCAAAGTAATGCCAGGACAGGCTAACATTAGAGCACAGGTCTTGCTAAGGTCTAATGCTGGTGTCTCCTGCTAATTCATAAAAACTAAGTGGTCTGTGATCATGCATTTCATTCTTGTAGACTCTCTTAGGT